GCAGCGCGAGTTGGGTGGGGAGGGGTGCGCAGTGATGGGAGCGGCCATCTGCCCTCAGTGGCAGGAAATGCTCCGTAACCAGGTGACACTGCGTCTCCAAGCCCGACTCTTGGAGCCCCGGCCTTTTCTCTCCTTGTGCCCTGCCAGAGCCGCTGCCTTGAAAGGGGAGCGAGGGGGCGAGGTCCTGAGGCCACGTGGACACTGCAGAGGCGCTAACAGTTTGAGGCTAGAGCATGACAGTTCTGTCGACTGCTCTCTGGAGACTTTGTGCTTTTATGTTTACTTTGAACTCTGTGCTGAAGTGGAAGACTTAAGTAGTTTTTAGCCTGTTTGGTTCAGTTCTGATGTCTAATATATCATTTTAAGAAAAGGATTATCCCTAAAGTTCACAAGCCATTTCCGCTGTTTGGCAGTCCTTTCTTTTTAAAGGCACTATTCTTAAAGGCAGTTTTTAAGAGTAATAATAAGTGCCCCAAGTGCCCCTTTTGTGACCCAGAAGGCAGGAATGTGGAAAACCTGCACGCTGGACTTGGAGAGCCACGTGGCCTTAGAAACCCTGTGAGCCCAGTTGTGTGGGAGAGCAGAAGAGTTTGGGAGCAGACATGCTGCATGTCGCTGGCTGCGACCCACCTTTCTGGTCACCGCCGGCTCAGCCAGCCAGTGCTATAGAGTCACTCTAACACAGCAGGCAGTTACTGCTGTTGCTAGGATATAGTGATCAGTGAGACAAAGCTCTACCTCAGGGAACTCACAGTCTAATAGGGAAAACAGCTAGCGTAAGACAAACTGCAGGGAACACATGGAGGGGCAGTCACTCTCACCTTAGGGACCATCTAAGTATTCTGGAGGAGGTAGTTTCAGGACGAAAGCCTGAGGGAGAATGTTCCAGGTCAAGAGAAATACAAAGAGAAAGAAACAGTTTGTACAAAGCCCAGAGCGAAAGCATTTGTACGGGGTATGCAAGCGGCTGGGCACCGTTGACAGTAAAGTGGGGAAATCGTCACCGTAGAAGTTAACACATCGAGTCGTGACGGCCTTGCCACTAGGGAGTTTTGTTATGGAGTTTGAACTGGATCATGAGAATAAAATCAAAGTTTTTCAGTAGACAAGTAATATGGTCAGACCTGGTACCTTGGTTTTCAGTAAATGCCTTTCCCTTCACTCTTACCCTCCATGATACCATAGTACTTAGTGCAGCTTAGTCATAGGACATGCCACGTTCTGCTTTGTCTTCCACTTGTGTGCATATCAAAGAATTTCACCAGAGGGTTGGGGAGCAAGGGGGAAGGTAGATGGGGTAAAAGGGATCAAATATGTAGTGACAGAAATCTAACTATGGGCAGTGAACCCACAATGCAATGTGTGTGTATACATATATATATATGTATACACACACACACACACACACATACATACATATATATGCCTATATATGTGTATATATATATGCCTATATATGTGATATGTGTGTGCGTATATATGTGTGTATGTATGTATGTGTGTGTGTGTGTGTATATATATATGCCTTGCTGTTGAATTGTATATGTGTGTGTGTGTGTGTGTATATATATATATGCCTTGCTGTTGAATTGTATCTATGAAACTTACTGGGTTTTGTTAACCAATGTCACCATAAAAAAAAAAAATTCCCTACTATATTCTGAACTCCTGAGGTTAAAGCTGTATCCTGATTGCATTACCCAAAGTGCCTCATGCATATTAGATGCTTAATATGGCTGTTGAGTGGGGGCAGACAGCCCTTTTTGGGAGGAATCAGCAAACTGAGAAGCCAGGTCAGACTGAATTCCCATATGTTCTCTTTCCCAGTACAAATGACACTTCTTGTTTCTAAATACTTCCAGAGAATGAAAGTTCACAGTCCAGAGCATATGTCCCCTCACTGAATTATTCCATTCCACGGAAGGATGTCACCAACAGTAAGCATGAAAGTTGTTGCACGATGAAGACTAAAACGGATCAAGCCAATGATATTACCAGCCCACCTCTAAATTCTGGTCTTGGTGAAAGGTATGATGAAGCTATTATACTAAAATACTTAAAACATTTTCCTACATATACTTGTTTTATAGAAAAGCATCTGATTTTTACACTAATATTTTGACCGACAGCCTGGTAGAGGATCTTTTATTTTTAAATCTTTGAAGTTGAGTTCTTTAATACAATGATTTTTACATTAGAAACATTTACATTGTTTTTATAACGTTGAATTCACTGATTTTTCTGTATATCCCATGAAATTTTTAAGTAACGAAAATGTTAATGATGAAAAACAATGCCTTTGAAATGTCAATTTAAATTATTTTTGTACTTTGAATCACTGGAGAAAATATGATTTATAGATTGACTTTATGTAATTTTTAAATTCAAAATATACAATTCTTAGCAGGTGAAATTCGTAAGTACTTTATATATTTCCGTGGGCATTTTAAACATAATTTGGTGCTTAATTCTTCATGAGATATTTACCTTTTAAAAAATAATGTAAAAATATTACAGGGTAGTATAATTCTAATAATCGGTGTAACAGAGTCTTTTTTATTTAATTAGTAAATTTTTTTGCCATTTCTGTTATCTCTTGAATAATCTGAGGGATTTGCTTTGTTTGCTTTAGTCCTGGTGTTCCACGATGTACACATGTGACACCACAAAGGGAAAAATCAGGTATGATTAAAAACAAGCTTTTTTATATTTTAAATATTCTAAATTTTAATAAAAATAATACTTAGCAATTTTTTCTTGTTTTCACCAGCGGTATGTGGAAGTTTATTTCATACACCAAAGCTTATGAAGGTAAATATTCTGCCGCATTAATTTTTATCTTGTAGTAACTGCGAACTTGACAATGGTGCCATACCTTTGTCCTGAGGTTTACAGATCCATACCTACAGTTCCACATAGGCATTCAGTAAATGATAAATGAAAAATAAGTGAATGAAAAATATTCTTAATCATCAGTGTCTTTCTATGAAATAAACTCTTTTCTTTATTTCCAGGGTCAGACACCAAAACATATTTCTGAAAGTCTGGGAGCCGAGGTGGATCCTGATATGTCTTGGTCAAGCTCTTTAGCCACACCACCAACCCTCAGCGCTACTGTGCTCATAGGTAATGCTATCAGATGTGCACTTCATACGAAGGTAGATGATGTCAATAAAGTGCCATCTCTAATGCTTCTGTTAAAGAGGAAATGTGAAAAGATAATTCATAATTAGACTAGGTATTACTGTGTTTGTTAAGTGTGTTCAGAATAGTTCTATTTAGTGTAGATTGGGATAAATCACAAGTACATTAAGTGGTATTCTGTAGAAGTCAATTTAATTTATACACAAACCAGGATTATTTTTATTCTAGTAAATTACTATACTTGTTTCAAATGTGTCATTTCGTCCAATAGTGTATGTCTTTTGATGTCATACATTTTTGCATTAACTATAGTGTATCTTGTATAATACAGTGTAGGTAAGTTGAATTTTTCTTTTACAGTCAGAGATGAAGAAGCATCTGCAGCTGTATTTCCTAATGATACTACTACTGTAAGTAAATGTGACAGACTGATTATGCTGTTGCAGTTGCCTGTCATTTTAGGATGCTTTGAAAAATTTTTTATCTTGCACTTTTTCATTCTCTAATTTCTGGTTTATCTAAGCCTTTGAGAAAGTCTCTACACCTGTTCCTGTATGTGATTTTCTTTGACTTCCTATGAAACGCTGCTGTCTCTCTGTTTAAGAATAAGTTGAATATTTACGCATGCTGAGAGTTTCTGTAATTGTAAAATATAACTTTTATAGATTTTGAAAAGCTATTTTTCTAACCATGATGAAAGTCTGAAGAAAAATGATGTGTTTATCCCATCTGGGCCAGATAATGAAAACAAAAATCAAAGAGAAGCCAGAAGCCATGGTAAGTCCAGTTTAATTGAACTACTGTTTTTAACTGACATTATTGAAGTATTCCTCCTCTTAGAGAGAAAACACCTTGCTTTTCCTTTCTTGATGACTGAAGGTATTGCAAGTAGAAGCTAACCTGATTTAGATGAAAATGTCAAAACATCTTGCTAAAACGAGATTATTCAAGATGCTGATGTGACACAGAAACAAAACAAAACCCACTACTCAAAACTTAGAGATGAAGACAACAAAATGTGAAGGCCTTATTTTCTAATTAGAAAGTAAACTGGTTGCAGATATATCAGAAACATACCAAAAATTACCAATCAGGTCATTGGAATATTGCATTTTTCTTCTTATGTGTGTACGTCTGCATAAATATGTAGGATTGGGGGTGTGTGTGTGTGTGTGTGTGTGTGTGTGTGTGAAATCAGATTTTACTCTTGGTTGTTGTAGGGCCACTAAATTAATTGAGATCATCTGGTTTGATGAATCTTAGAATATTAAATTGTGTATATATAGTAAGATTGGTTGAGTTTTAATTGTAGAGCTGGTAAAGAAAGGTTATTGGAGATTGGAGTATAAATAAAAGGCTTTGGGTACATTAGAATCACTCTTTATCAGGGGAAGGGTGGCATGCACCCCCTCCAAAAAAAGAGCACTCAGAATAATCCTTTAAATGTTATTATTTCTATGAAAAAGATCATGAATGTAGTATAAATTATGCGGTTATATTATAAAATGTTAATATGCTTCTGTTTTAAATTTTAACAGGATGGGGGAATTCATTTGATAAAGTAAGTAGCTGCAAAGACCATTTTAGAAAGTCAGTGCCAAATGTCCTTGAAGACGACGTACATGAAAACGTTGCAGATGTTTCTGAAGAAGATAGTTTTTCATTATGTGTTTCTAAATATAAAACGAGAAACGTTCAAAAACTAAAAACAAGCAAGACTAGGAAAAATATTTTCAGTGAAACAAAAACCAATGAATGTGAAGAAGCTAAAAAACAAGTGAAAGAAAATAAACATTCCTTTTTATCTGAAATGGGACCAAATGACAGTGATCCATTAGATTCAAGTATAACAGATCAGAAGCCCTTTGGGAATGGAAGTGAAGCAGTGTCCGAGGCAGTTTTACCGTCTTCAGCCACTGGATGGTCACCGCTGACCCTCTCGGGTCTAAATGGAACCCAGATGGATAAAACACCCCTACTGCATATTTCTTCTTGTGACCAAAATAATTCAGAAAAAGATCTAGTAGGCACAGGGAAAGAATGTACCAACTTCGTTACTTTAGAAAATTCTTTGCCATGTATTTCAGGTGTACCGAAAACAGAGACGCTACTAAGCGAGGAAACAGTGGTAAATAAGAGAGCCGACAGGCAATGCCTTGAATCTCCCACTCGTGCGGTAAAGTACTCACTGGCTGAAACTTCCCTGATGGCTTCTCCACTTTGGGGTGTCGAAAAGTCTGTACTCGGGATCAGAGAATTGCCTGAGGAGACATCCAGTACGGTTTTCTCAAATAATATGACTGATCCCGACTTTAAAGGAGAACTTGAAGCCTCTGAAGGTAGATCGGAAATACACACTGTTTGCTCACAAAAAGATAGTTCTTTATGTTCAAGTTATGTTGATGGAAGCTGGCCAGCCACTATCATACACACTCCTGTGGCTTTGAAGAATACGGGTTTGATATCCACTTTGAGAAAGAAAACTAGAAAGTTTATTTATGCTGTAAATGATGAAACATCTCATCAAGGACTAAAAATGCAGAAATGCCAGGAATCAGGACTGAGTAACCATTCAGCACAGTTTGAAGCAGACACTTTTGAAGTACCATCCACAGTTACAAATGCCAGTTCAGGTACGTGTGTGTGTGTGTGTGTGTGTGTAGAGAGTTTTATGGGTGGCGACAAGTTCTCTTATTTGACCCTGTGAATCTGTAATCTTTTTCAAGAGCACACTGCCCGCTTTCCTTCTATAGTGTTTTTGGTTTTTCTTCTGCAGTTTTAAAATCTCCGTATCTTGTATAGTTGACCCTTGAACTGTGCGGAGGTTGGGGCACCGATCCCTGGGCAGTCAGAAATTTGAGTATAACTTTTTACCCCTCAAAACCTAGCTGTCCCTCAGTATCCGTGGAGGGCTGGCTCCAGAACACAAACCCATGCAACACCGATGCTCAAGGGCCCTGTATGAAACGGCTCAGGGCAGTGCCAACGGTCAGCTCTCCAGCCATGGAGCGAAAACACTGTTTCAGTCCATGGTTTCTTGAATCTGTGGATGCAAAACCCAGAGATGTGGAGAGTCGACTGTATGTTTACTGAAAAAAATCCAAGTTTAAGTGGATCTGCTCAGCTCAAGCCCATGTCGTACGAAGGTCACCTGTAGTCAGTATCAGGCAGTGTCAGCATATGTTATTGGTTAGTTAGGCCTTTGATTAACAGTCTTCAAATTCATTTCATCAGACTTGTTGGATCAGTTTGCATGGTATATGTGTGATCATCACTCTTGAGACAGAGCCTGTGATTTATAAGCATCAAGAGCTTGGCTACATCCTGTTTTAATTTCCTGTGTTTATTATGTGCAGATTGGACAATTCTATAAATGTATTATGCTATTGACTATATTTTCTCTAAAGCAAGCAAAAAAAATAGGGGGGAGAAGCTAATTGCTAGCTAAGTTTAAGCCAGACCTAAAATAAAGTGGTGATTTTTGTTGTTACATAATTTTCTTAAATTTTTAGAGATTGCTCAGCATTATTACTGTATCTCTATGTGTCCAGAATGTGCCCAGCGAAACTTATTTTTTATTTGAGCAACAGTTCTTTTAATTAGTAGCTACATTCTGCGTTAATTAAAAAAGGTGATTTTAGGTCCCTGTGGGAAGATTGTAGTGGGTTGTAATATCTCAGTGACTGAAAGCTTTGGTGGAACTGTTTGAGATTCGGTTTTATTTCCAGAGAAAAATGTCTAATGCCATATATATGAGTTAAAACCAGTAAAACAACTAATATGTAGTAGCGGTCACTGATTAAAGAAAATGAGATTGAAAATTTTGACTTGTTGATAAGAAGTTCAGAGGGCCTTTAAAATGAACTCAACAGAGCAGTTTAATTTGCTTTTATAATTGAGATGATGTCATCTTCAGCCCTTTCATATGTAGAACCTGGTTTTAAAAGTTGATTTTTTTTTTTTCAATATGAAAGACCGAATTAACTAAAGGAAATTATTTTCCTTGCCTTGCTAATTATCTTCTGTTATACCAATATTAGCAATGAATTTTCCAATTTTATTTTCCAATGAAAATACTTTGAATTTTACTCTCAGTTGCTAGCTGCTTTCTGGAGCTGCGTACTAATTTTAGTTGATTTGATACATATTACAAAAAAAATACTAGGTCCTAGTTATTTTTAGTTGGAAAATGTAATAACTTCAAAATAGACAATATTTAGAATTCTTTTTGTTTTAAACCTAACATCACATCTTGCTTTCATGTAATTCTTGTTTTAGATGCTACCTTTTTAACTTTGTAGAAAATATTTGCTGAATGTTATTGATGGTACTTATTTTGTCACTTTGTGTCTTTCTGCTTAGGTTTATTGCACTCTTCTGTCAAAAAAAACTGTTTACAGAATGATTCTGAAGAACCAACTTTGTCTTCAACCAGCTCTTTGGGGACAATTCCGAGAAAATGTTCCAATAGTGAAAGCAATTCTTGCAATAATAAAATAATATCTCAGGACCATGAGTACAAAGAAGCAAAAATTTATAAAGAAAAACTGCAGTCATTTATAACCACAGGTACTGACTGTCTGTCACGCGTACAGGAAAAGCATTGTGAAGATGGCCCCAAAAGCCTAAGAGTTTCAGACATAAAAGAAACCTTCTTACCTACAGTGTGTCACCCTGCAGTGCCACAGTCAGAAGTGCAGTGCAGTGGTATTCACTTTCAGTCCCAGGAAAGCTTTGTACGTGACCATGATGATACCAGCATTTTAACTCCTAGCTCCAAGGATCCTCCATCAAACCCAGCTGTGATTTCTAAAGAAAAAGAATCATATGAAATGTCAGAGAAATTACAATATAAGAATTGTGAAGCTGGTTTTGATTTAACCAAAAATATTCTCGTGGAAAAGAATCAAGAAATACGTGTTTTAAACGAAAATTCTAAAAAAGCTGAGCTGTTGTCACCTGAAAAAACCACAACAATAGCATCACCTTCTGTGACGGTACAGTTCAACCAAAACACAAATCTCACATTAATTCAAAAAGAACAAGAAGAGACTACTTCAGTTTCAAAAATAACTGCCAATTCAAACTCTAAAAAACTTTTTCAAGACAGTGAGAATGATTTTGTCTTTGAAATAACTACTGAAAAGAATATGCCCGTTTTAGAAAATTTTAAGGAACTTCACGAGGCCGACCTCGGTTGTGTAAGAGGACCTGTTCTCAAGTCTGCCCTGGTGGTAGATCACAAACAGGCAGCCAAAGGGTCTGTTATTAAAGGTTTTGATTCATCAAATAAAATCCATGATCTTACAGAGAAGGACAGAAATAACGTAACACAGCAACTAAAAATGACTCTCAGTGAAGATTCAAAATCGGACATCTCCTTGGACATAGATGAGAAATCAAGCAGAAATGATGATTGCATGGACAAATGGGCAAGACTCTCAGATCCCATTTCAAATCACAATTTTGGAAATGGCTTCAGAACAGCTTCTAATAAAGAAATAAGACTCTCTGAGCACAACATTAAGAAAAGTAAAGTACTCTTCAAAGATATTGAAGAAAATTTTTGTACTGACTTAACTTATGTTGAAGTTGTAAATATCTCATCGTTAGAAAATCAAAAGAAACTAAGCAAACCTCATGCACTTAATTCACAGTCAACTGACGTTGGATCTGGGTGTGTGCAGAGTAGAGCGTTTGTTTCTAATAGTGAATACAGTCACATAACTCCTCCAGCTTTATCATTAAAGCGAGATTTTACTTCAGACCATAATTTAACACCTAGCCAAAAGGCAGAGATTACAGAGCTTTCTGCTATATTGGAAGAATCAGGAAGTCAGTTTGAATTTACACAATTCAGAAAACCAAGCCACATGATACAGAATAATCCATTTGAAATGCCTGAAAGCCAGCTGCCTGTCTTGAACGCCGCTTGTGAGGAATGGAAAGACGTTGACCTTCATCTCACAATCGATGCCCCATCCATCGGTCAGGCAGAGAGCAGCAGGGAATTTGAAAGTAAGCAAAAGTTTGCTTGCTCGTTGAAAACCAACTATAACAAAAGTACTTCTGGGTATTTAACAGATAAAAATGAAGCAGTGTTCAGAGGCTTTTATTCTGCTCGTGGCACAAAACTGAATGTTTCTAGTGAAGCACTGCAGAAAGCTAAGAAACTGTTCAGTGACATTGAGAACATTAGTAGAGAAACTGACGCAGAAATAGATCCAAGGAATTTATTTTCAAATAAATGTGACCGTTCCGTTGTTTGGATGTTTGACTTAGAAAATTACAATGATAAAAGTCCTAATGAAAAAAATAATAAATGCCAACTAATACAACAAAATAACACTGAAACGACTACTGGTGTTTTTGTTGAAGAAAATACTGTAGGTCACAAGAAAAACACAGAAAATGAAGATAACAGATGTGCTGATGCCAGTAGAAATATTTGTAACTTAGGAGAATCTGATAGCAGTGATTCAAGTAAAGATGGTACAGTTTATGTTCATGAAGATGAAAACGGCTGGCCACGTGTCGATCAGCACAAGGTACATGTAAAACCACCTAGCCAGTATACGAGGGAGGGGAACACTCAAGTCAAAGAGAGCGTGTCAGATTTGACGTGTCTGGAGGCTGTGAAAGCTGAAGAAACACGTCATGTTAATATGTCAGCGAAAGAACAGTTAACTGCTAATACAACGGGGCAAAACATCAAATATTTGGATGTTTGGGATATATCCTTTCAGACTGCAAGTGGGAAAAAGATCAGCGTCTCCAAAGATTCATTAAATAAAGTTGTAAATTTCTTTGATCAAAAATGTGCAGAAGAATTGAATAACTTTTCAGATGCCTTGAATTCTGAATTACTTTCTGGAATAAATGTTAACAATATGGACATTTCAAGTCATGAGGAAACAAATATGGTTAAAGAGAAAACATCGAAAGAAAGTGACCCTGTTTGTGTTAATAATGAATTACCAGCTCTCCTACCAGGACCAAAATGTGAAATCGAAAAGATCAAAGAACCTACCATGTTGGATTTTCATACAGCTAGTGGGAAAAGGGTAAAAATTGCTAAGGAATCTTTGGACAAAGTGGAAAATCTTTTTGATGAAAAACGATATAATAGTGAAGCCACTCATTTTAGCCATCAAGGTACAAAGATGCTAAAGGACATAGAGGAATGTAAAGAAGGGCTTGAAGTAGCACATGAGACGGTTGAAATAACAGCTGCCCCAAAGTGTAAAGAAATGCAGAATTCTCTAGAGGAGAAAAAATTTGTTTCTAACAAGACTACCATGCTGCCCGGGCTCTTAAGTGATAATTTATACAGACAAAATGAGAATCTTAAAACGTCAACTAGTACCTCTCTGAAAATTAAAGTACATGAAACCATAGAAAAAGAAACAGCAAAAAGTTCCACAACTCATTACGTAAATCCGTCCGTTTGTTCAGCCACAGAAAATTCCGTGTTAGCATTTTACACAGGACATGGTAGAAAAATTTCTGTGAGGGAGACTTCACTGCTTGAAGCAAGAAAATGGCTTAGAGAAGGAGAATTGGATGATCATCCAGAAAAAACAAACGCTGCCAAGGTTACATGTTTAAAAGAATATCCTGAGTATTGTGTAGAAAATCCTTCATGTGGAAATCACTCAAACAGTGTTATAACTAAAAATGACCAAAATGCCTCTGATAAACAAGATTCAGCTTATTTAAGTAACAGGAGCATGTCTAATAGCTCTTCCTACCATTCTGACTTTGGCCATTCCGATGAGATATATAATAAATCAGAATCTCTCTCAAAACATAAAATGGGTAATTCTGGTATTGAGCCAGTGGTGACCAATGTCACAGACGGAAAAACCACTGGTTTCTCAGAAGTGAAATCCACTGTGAGAGAAGCACACACATACCCACAAACTGTAAATGAAGATATATGTGTTCAGAAATTCGTGACCAACTCTTCTCCCCGCAAAAATAAAGATGCAGCCACAGGAGAGGCAGGGTCCAATTCAAATGATTTTCAGATAGGGTCCCCTGCATTCAGTACAGCAGGTGGTCAGGTGGTCCTCGCTTCACGTGGGATGAAAGCGAGAGAGCAATTTACAGACGCTTGCACAAAGGTCATTAAACAAGACTCTGAGTGTGAATCGGGCCCTGGCCAAGCACAAACAGAGGCAGGGGATGACTCGGAGGACGTTATTTTTCCTAACTCTCCGGACACTGTGCCTTCATATAAGGTTTTTGCTGACATTCAAAGCAAACAGAGCCTACAGCACAGCCAAAAGATGTTGGGATCGGGGGAAGTTCCCGAAATGTCACCTCGTTGGCTGGATTCGAAAACTTCTGGTGTCTGTAAATTGAACACAGGGCCACCTGCCAAGTCGGTCTCTTCTATGCAGGCCTGTGGGATTTTTAGCACGGCGGGTGGGAAATCGGTACAGGTGTCGGGCACTGCACTGCAAAAGGCCAGGCAGATATTTTCTAGGCTAGAAGAGAGTGCCGAGCAGCTCGGAGCCAGAGTAGCCTTTGAACATGATGAAGATCATTCAGAGAATGCCACAAGAAAAGACGATACCGTGATACGCACCCCCCAGAATGTCCCGTCACTCCCTTTCTCTGGCTTTAGCACAGCAAGTGGAAAACAGGTGTCCGTTTCTGAAAGTGCCTTCATCAAGGTTAAGGGGATGTTAGCGGACTTTGATTTCAACAGAGCTGAATGTGCTCTGCAGCGTCCACCCTCGCCCCGACAAGATGGGTCACAAATGCCTCCACGCTCCTGGATTGATAAAGGAGCCCGAGAACATTCCACAGACTCCGAAATGGAAAAGGCCTACAGTGAAGAATTTAAATTACCAAATAACAGCCCCACTGAAACCGGTCCCTCGGAACGCACGCACTCTACTGGCGTCTTGACAAACCCCTCTCAGCTTCAGGAAGACGAGCAGCGGTTGATACTAAGAGGCAAAGCATCGCTGGTTGAGGTTGGTCATCTTTTGGGAAAAGAACAAGTTTTACCCAAAAATATGAAAGTGGAAATTGGGAAAACTGAAACTTGTCCTATTCTCCCCATGAAAAATATAGAAATTTCTTACTCCAAAGACCCAGAAAACTATTTTGAAACAGAAGCAGTAGAGATCGCGAGAGCTTTTATGGAGGACGGTGAGCTGACTGATTCTGAACTGCGGAGTCGTCCCGCACGCGCTCTTGCGTGCCAAAACAGCGGGGAAACCAGTTCATTAAATTCAAGAACGGGAAAAAGAAGAGGAGAGGCACTTTTCTCGGTCGGTAAGTATCTACTTTTTCCTTTCGGTTTGCCAGCCACTTTTTAAAGGGAAGTCCTCAATAATCTGGGCATGCTAGCTTATAGCAGTTAGGGTATTACACACTACGTATGTTTTTCCAGACTTTTATGTGTAGTTTGGGGGATTGTGGCTTCACTCTTGAGATATCTGAGTCTGTGTACCAAGAAGTCATGTTTTGAGGTTCTCTGTGTAGTTTTAGAGATGATTAATGTAGTTATAATTGAGAAATTACTGTTAAAAGTTTGAATTTCTCTAGAAAAGTAGAAACTTCATATAACAGCCTGCTTAATACAATTTACTAACCTTTCATATAAATAGATAGAAGTGACAGATGATAGATAAAATAGATGATAAAGTATAGATAGACGATAGATAGATAAATAGATATAGATAGATGGTAGGTAGATAGATAGATAGATAGATGATAGATAGATAGATAGATAGATAGATAGATAATAGATAGACAGACAGACAGATAGATAATTTACCAATTTAAGGTAAAAATAGTTCATTGCAAATGCTTTTTCTCTCTGTCCTCACATGGAACAAGGAGCTAGACAGCTCTGTGGGATCAGTATAATGAGAGGATCAATACC